GGGCCGGGAACGCCAAACGCCTGACCATATATTGTTGGTTTTTCCGCCTTCTCGCTCTGCCGAGGCTGCGAGGTGACCATGGCAAACCAGCTCAGAGGAAGGACAGTTATATAAACTTAAACTCCACAGACCCTCGGAAGTTGATGTTCTGTTCTTTTTCATACGCCGCTCTTCCCTGATCGCGCTGCTCACGACCGCACGCAGAAGTTAAAACTGTCAACAACGGTTGGGCTGGTCTAAGAGCAGGACATCAGCAGAGCCTCGTCCAGAGAGCGGTGCCTACTTCCTCCTGTCGCTTCCACTGCATCGGCCCCAGCCTCTTGAAAGCCAGGAACGAGGCTGGCAGGCTTGAAAGTGGCCGGAGAGCCACGTTTGTGCGAGCTATCGAACCTCAAACATCTGCAGCAATGGCTCTGACCTGAAGCTCATCGCTAGCATCCAAGGCTCGAACTCTGAGCCATTCAATAAGGTGCCTCGGTAATGGCATACCTGGGTTGCGTGCTGACTGCGACTGACCCTCTGCTCATGCCATGACGAGTTCGCCCAAACCGATTTTCTTCAAGCTTGTGAAGTCTGCCGGTGGTCACTTCTACGAGGTGAAACGAGAAAAGATCAGATCACCTGTCATCAGCTTCCGTTCTCCATGATGCTAAACGCATTGGAATGCATGCCAAATGAAAACGTTTGTGCATGTGCCTTCTTTTTCTTCTTCACCTCCCCGGCTTTGGAACCAGCTTCTCTTTTGCCTGACGCGGCAGGCCCCAAAAAATCCGGCTCCCGTGACTCGTGAGTTGCCGTGAGTTTCGACAGACTGCAAACCTCACCATATGCTTCTTTTGCGCCAACTCCCGCCTGTTGATCTGTTCTCAGCGATCGGCGACCGCTGCGGGGAGAGCTTCGGAGAAGGCTTCGGGGACAGTCGAGGCGACTGAGCAGGCCCGCTCTTAGGCGACCTGGGCATCACGTATCAGTTGGCTCCGTACACCTTCTGCTTGGCATCTGCTTTTGTAAGCTGAGCTGCGAAGGCTGCTTCGCGCCCCGCAAACGCAAAGCGTGCTTGGGCAACATTGCGAGGAAACCTCCCTTGAAATCGCGCTGAGGTCTTGGGACAACCTCACTGGAGATTTGCCGGGGAAGCAAGAGCAAACATGCCCACGATGCTTCTGCCAGACGCCTTGCAGTACGCCATCCAAGCCTTTACCAGGTGCTTTTCCCACACCTGGAAACAGTATGGCATGCCAGACGGACTTTGCCGATATGTAGTCTGTGATATTGGCCTTCTTATCTGGAATGCTCGGAGGATCGAGCTGGTCTGGAAGCCTGCAGGCAGGTTGTCTTTGATCAACACAACTCCCAAAACACTGGGCTCGATCTGGAAACAAACTTCCATCCAGGAACCCAAGACTCCGTTACTTAGCAGAGGCACGAAATTGGCACAAAATGCCCGCTGCTTGCCTTATCACGAAGTTGCCATCTTTTTCCGGGACCAACCTGGGAAATGGCTTCATGCTTCTATGCTTCAAAGAGCTCCAGAAATCTCAGCTCTCTGCGTAAACTTGTCTGGATTCTCCTTCAGGAACCTGCTAGGGCCACTGGGTGCACTCAAGGACGGCACGGTCAACAGAGCTGTTGCCTCTGAGCGGCTGTTTGTAGGATCCCAAAGCGGGCTTGTACTTCTCTGCCCACCCTTCGGGGACGAAAGGCGCACCGGCCTTTTGGTTGCCGGCGACGCGCACGCCTTGCCTAGGCTTTGCAATGCCCAACAAACCGAAACGATCAGAGGCTTCGGGGAGCCCACTCGATGGCTGCAATCGCTTCATCCGCAAGTCTTGCTTTCTCACCAGCATCTACTTCCTCCGGTCGGAAAAGTGCTGCGTAAAGCACATCGAGGCAAGGGTTGGGCTCACAAGACTACGGGAAACATTGTTGCGTACTCAAGACCACATCAAGGTGGGATCTCGATGCTCGACTTGGCCTTTCTCTCACTGTCTCCACACCCCAACCTTCGAGCCTGGCTCGATGCGCTTGCCTTTGGCGCTGCTTTTTGCTTCGTGCCCTTCCTGGGATGTATTCGGATATCGTTGTTCAGTGCCCCACAAGCCACACCTTTGCATGCAGAAATGTAAAACATGCTCCAAGGTGAAATGGTGACAGCCAACTAACAACTCGACAAGAGCTCATGGCTCACACAGCTTCCTGACTAAGCGTCTTCTCGACGTTGCCTTGGCGCTTGTCTCTAGCAGCCTGCCGGGCCGGGCGCGAGTCACTTCTCCGCACAGTGAAGGTATTCAACCCATTATCCGAAAGATGCAAGGACGGCTTCCACACACCGCCTTCCCCATGGCCGAGTCCACTTCCGAGCGTACGCATCATTTCCATCAGTCCTACGCCTATGTATCCGTGCTCGATCCAATATGAGGTGTGCAGCTGTGTGCTGGCTGCCATAGACGTCCAGGACAAGTCGTCAACAAGCCACAAAAAATTGGTCCATGGCAATCTTCGACTGCGCTTCAGGGTGAGCTCCGTCGGCCGGGCCGCTTTTCAACACCTGGCTCTGCGACAGGAACGAGCGTAGGCCCAGAAGCTTGTACTAAGCTCAAGGCACCTCGTACTGCAAACCTGTCGAGGTTTCCGTCACCTCGTCTCGCCTCTATGGTGCACATCATCGCCACTCAGTCGAAGGAACAACTCCCGCTAATTCTCGTCAGCTGCCCGCAGGCACGAGTGCAGAGATGCAACCAACGATTCTCTCTAGCAATTCTTTTTGTTAAGTTCAGGACTGCCGATTCTCCTGGGCAACCACATTTCTGCCGACAGGCGGTTTTACACCACGACAGTCGCTCCTCCAAAATCTGGTCATCGGTCTGGACTTCAACTTCTACTTCCTCGTCTGCGCCTGCTCTGACTGCCTCACAATCAACTTGAGAGACTGGTATTTCCCTGTCCCAAAGGCTTTGTGTTCTGGCCCTGCTTGAACACGGTAGGGTCTGGGCAAAGAGCAGCGCAATCAACAATCCGGCTCGAATAGTCTTTGCCTCAGAAAGACACAAAGGCCGGCGTAGGGCGGCTTCCCCAGCTACGACGCGTCCGAGACGTGCTAGCTGAATCCGAAGCTTGGGTCACGACAGCCATTCCACAGACCGTGGACCGGGTTTATACGAGCTCAAGCTGGGAGCAACATCCACGACATGGACGGGCTCAAGACGGCTCAAGTTCCTCTGCAGCACATCGGCCGAATGACCATTTTGCAGAGAAGGCGAGGCCATAGCAACATCTCCGGCGCTTTGCACCAGAGATCGCATTCAGCGCACGTTGTTCGTGCACGGATGCGTCCGACTCTACAAGGCATCTGCACAGGACCGCCACTGACTGAGTCCTTCACGCTTGCAGATGCCTGCAAACCTGCACTAAAGTTCCACATCGAGCTACTGCGCGTTCAACACCTCGGCCGCCTCGGATGTGTAGACTTACACAACTCAGATGGAGCGTGCAGCAAGGGCTAAATCACGACTGACTATGCCATGTGCACGATGGCCGAGTCGCCTCCGGATTCAAGTCGCCGCACTGTTGCTGCAAGGCTCGAACCACTGACGGACCACTCAGGCCACGAACGCCACGAATCCTGGGCATGAAGGACATAAGGTGTCCTGACAGGCCAACACTCTGCGTGCCCAAGCCCCCTTGGCCCGAGCCCAAGGCACTGATCCAAGCAGGGATGCCATGGCAACAGTCACATCATCAGCTTGCAAATCAGAGACACACTGCCAGAAGTCGTCGGCTTCAAACCTCGTGCTTGTGCTTGAGGCCCGTCGAAAGAACAGAAAAGTATCGAAGCCAGAGGCAAGCGCTCAGCTCCCTCGTCCAACACCGACTTCACCTGACTTCTCGATGCATCGGGGCAATGAACCCCGCAAACTGAACGGGCCCTGGCAGAGTCTAGCAAGACGTACATGGCCTGACAGGAGATCCGCTGCAAATGGAACTGACTGAAAGTGGAACCAGCTGCTATGGCATGCTCCGGCACCAGCCTTGGAAGCATCTGCTGTCTCCAGCTGCGTCCGGATCTGTTCAAGAAGGGACCTGTACCTTCCCGGGGTCAGGAATGGTCAGCACCAGTGCCGATAGAGCTCGGGAAGTGACAAAAAACACCCGGCACCACTGATGCTGTTGGCCATCATTGCCCTCAACCTCAGACCAGCATGACAGTCTTAATCAAAGGACGTAGTTTAAACAAGGCCGGGGCCGGCCATCCAGGCATCAAAAGCTTCCTTGCCCAAGCGATGGAAAACCGGGTGCCGAGACAAGGGCAGGGCGACGCCTTGTGGGATCTTCAAAGAATGCCATCCTGGACTCCGCTTGGCTTTCCAGAATCGCCTCCCAGCATCTTTTGGTTGGAGATGTAAAATTGCTCGCCACCAGGGCTGCCCCATGTCATCATGCGGTTGCTGATTAAAGTGCCATCCGATTGCCTTTTCGCCAAGCTATGTGCGCTGCAGAACTGTGCCTGCAACTTTTTGCGCTCTGTGTCGCGAGATTCCTGCACACGAAAGAACTCGCCACAGAGAGGTCGGCAAAACTCGCGACTTTCGCGTAGGTGCTAACCTGGTACTTGATCACTTTCCACCGGAGGCCCACCAACGGTGACCTTCAACGCGACGGTTTCGAAGCTGGCCATAATCACTTTAGCGCCGTTGGCTAAGCACTCTGAGTCATAGCAGAACGAAGCCTCTGTCGCTGATCCGGTTCACGAAGCTGAGAGAGGGCCTGGAAACTCAAGCCAGTGACTTGAACAAGACTGAGAAGTGCTGTTATCAATGGTGTGGCAGTCTCATGCTCCAACTCGAGTTTTGGCACAACTTTCAGGCGTTTAAATCTCCACCGGCATGTGACCTCAGCGTCTTGGCAGTAGAATGGCATTTTCTCTTCCTAATCTTCCCCTCTGGCTGTTGTTTCATACAGCAAAACGCACAATTGCACTTGGACTTGGTCTACTAGTAGCCTCGGCGCTGTCCAGCCTGTCGGGGCCTGCATCCCGCCAGATTTAGTGTGCCCTGAACAATGAAACGTAAAGACACGTGCGGTCCCTTTAACTGTAGGAGATAGAATCATAGGATGTGCACTCAGGCTTGACTGTCTGCATCAACAGAACTCAGTACACTGTAAACATGTTCAACTTTCCGACGAGACACATAAACATTGCACAGGGACGTACTAGAGCAGCTACGACACCACAGCAGAAGGAAGCAGTTTCATATCTACTCGGACCAGACACGAAGCAATGAAGTGGGAGACACACAGACTCGGCTCAAATCTACAGGTAGTTGGGCCAAACACCAGCCTTCTGCTGAATCACGCGAGCTCGTGTATGAGCCTGGATTTGGGACTCTCGGATTGCTGCTGATCAGACACTTCTGCCACGTGGCATGCTTGGCCAAGGCACTGCCACTGGCTTGGCCGGTTCAGGTACCCGCGGATCGTTCAAGCGCTGCAAACCCTGCAATCAGTTTTTCCCTCTGCCCTCTGCCCGACTGAATGTCCACGTTTCGGGTAGCCGCCTTATTGAGTTCGTCGTCGTGGTCAACACCTGCTCGACGCTTGTCCTGCAACACCTCAGACATATCGGGCAGTGCTTTGCCAGTTTGCACTGACGAGGAAGCCAGCACAGCACAACCCGCTTTTGAGCAGTCGCGCGCGAAGACTGCAAAGCGATATCAAAGCAATTGCAAGAAAACACAGTCGACTATGGACGTCGACCTGTGCACTCGCACATGAAGTCGAACTTCTTCGCTCGCAGGATGCAGGTTGACTGCTACCGTTGCGGCAATGCATCAGCGCCCAAGCTACGAAAGGCAAGATTTAGTTGCAAAGGATTGGTCTCAATCTACTGCGACAAGGCTTGATGAGAGGTTTGTCTTGATCGCTTGGACACTATGCCACTATGTGCACTCTAGGGGCGATTACAGCCCAAAGCATTTACAGGAAGGCGTTTCACTGCAAGAGTCACGCCTGCCAAGCTTGCACCCTGAAGCTGGTTGAGCAAACACCACAAACGATGGCCTTCTTCTTTTTGCCTTTTATTTCGAAGCCACCATACACTTCCTGCATCAAGGAATGCCGGCCCTACACAGCACAACAATGGCACAGCCAAAGCAAGCGGGCCTTGATGCTCTCAGGAGGGATGCCTCAGCTGAAGCGAAACAAGAGAATGCTTCCTTCAGGCCTGACTGGAGCTCTGAAAATCAACAGCAGCATGAACACCATCTCTCTCTGTTGTAGCCACTGCATAGGCAGAAAAGCTGCGAATCACTTCTGTTGAGTGTTGGATGTTTCGGTACAGATCGAAGGCGACAACCTGCACTCCGCTGTGCAGGCCAAGAAATGTCACCGATTGCTGCACTGAGTAAGGCATTTACAGCACAATTCGCCATTTTCGTAGTCTTGGCGACATGCGTCGCAGACTTTGGCATGAAGCCTCGGAGGCCAAGACTGCAAGCACAAACTGTTCAGGTGCGGTCTGCAATCTGCAAGCGAGCCACTCTTGAAGAACTCACGGAACCAAAGCGAGTGACCTGCAACCTTGGGTGGATGGCTGCCGGGTAACCTGGCCCTGGCCCCAGGCCGGGCCCTCGGAACCTCCCTATGGAACCTGCTTGGCCCTTCCTCATGTGAATAAAGCTCTTGTGCAGCATGAGCGAATCACAGCAATCACTCCACAATCCTGGAAGCTTGGGAGGTGCCGTTCAACTTGTATGTCATTAACTTGGCCATCTGCTTACTGGCCGACCTGCCCGCCAAGATGCAACGATGCAGTTCACATCTTTCTGCTCGAAAACCCACTTCACGAATTGCTTTTGCCGTTTATCAGCCTGTCAAGGCACAGGTCGCAGATGGTCGCAGTGCTCTCATCAACCAGCACAGAAGACGAGCAGGTGGTGCCTTCATGGACAATGTCTTGTTGCCGGCGTTGTGTCTATGATCTAGCCGCGTCTTGTACCAGTGTGACCTTGCAGAGAAGCTCTGGCCGCATCCTGCTCGAGCTCTCAAGCCCGGAATGCTTCCGAGCCGCATCAAATCACCCATGTTCTTCAGCTTAGCCTGATCACCGCTGATCGAAACAGCACTGGCTAACGGTTCTCTCTCGGCGTCTAATCGCCAACCTCATCTGGAGGACACTTCGGGATCGACCGAGCCGGAGTGACCGACAGCGTGTCAACATTTCTACCTCAGTCTAGCCCACTAGTGGAGGGGCATCCGAGATGTGCCGCATCGTGCCATCAGCTCAGAGACCCAGCCGACTTTACCCCACCCGCCCCCCGCCCGAATCCCGGGTAAAAGAAAACATTTGCCTCTTGAATCTCAGAGTGCGGCTGATTTCCTGTACCAAGGTCACAAGCCAATGGTGTCGCACAACATGAGTGATTGTCGCAAGAGCAACATGGGCCGTCCTGCAACGAAGTCATCAGGTGAACACGGTCTTTGGCAAACGTCCTGAACCAGCACAAGTCACACATGGGATGGATGCAAGCATAATCCGAAACGAGCTGCGTCTTCAATAGTCGTGGGCTCAAAGCTAGCAGGATGGTGGACACGGCCCGCCGCAGTATTGAAGAAACCTCAACTCCAGCCGCTGCAGGGCGACGAGCCCTCCATCACCGCTCGTTTACATATGAAGTTCGTCTTGATTAGGGCAAATTGAATTCCACGTGGCTATAACACTTTCACCCGCATCGCCGCGGATGATTGAAACCTGGGCACGGTGCACACATTGAATTGCCACATCATGCTCGGGTCTAGATCCAAGTCCAGCACAATGTCCTCGACCTGTAGCTGCTCCACAGGCTTTTGGCAAGATCCAGGGTCTCGGCAACCTCTGAAATGGCTTCTGGACACGTCATGTGCACGAAAAAAGCGTTGGAGGCTGGTGTGAATTGCAGCGAAAGCCTGCCGGCTGTGAGGTCAGGAATGCCAGCAAATCCCAGCCTGCAGATCTCAGCTTCTGATGGAACACCCCGTGTCGTACTGTAGTATGTTCTAGTTTGCAGTCACGGACCCCCGCTTGCCATCGTTTTCTTTCAGCTGCCCACTAGGTGTCACTAGCACTGCATTCCAAGACGTCACTGGAGTGTGAGAAA